TTTCGCAATGCAGCCCGTCAGCGCGGCCTTTGGATCCCGCCGGGAGAGCCCATGGTGCAGTCGGCCAGGCCACTGCCCGCCTGGCACAGAAACGCCTCTGGGACAAGGGCAGTAACACAGCAAAGTCCTCCAGGACTTGGCTCCATGCTCTGCTTTCCACCAACACCCAGGTGGAGATAAAGACACATTCTCCAAAGGTGCCACCAGCCTGGAAAGCACCAGCAAGCACATTGGCAGTCTGAAGAGGAGGCAGGATGGTTCCTTCTGCCTCCAACAGGTTTTCTAGCTGGACAAACCCCAAGGTCCAGTGACAGGCTCCCGGGATGGCTCATCCTGGCCAGAAACCTGACCCCAGCTGGACTTTGCCGCTATGAGATGGCCTGGGAAGTCTGAATGGAAAGAGATGGGAAGCATGGGCTGGGGCAGGGATGAGAGGAACCCGTAATCAGGGCTGGAGCTGCCAGCGGGATTTAGAGCTGAGGGTTTATCAAACACAGAATCATCCCCCCCCCCCCCCCCCCTCCCTGGAATATAAAGGGAGTGAAACAGAAGCTGTGTGGGAGATAAGGCGGCAGCACCCAGCAGCTCATATGGAATTACTGCAGTGACCTTGACCAAGAGTGGCCAGGTGGGAGAAGGACACGGCTGCGGGGCTAGGTCCCCATCGCCCGCGGGCCGGCGCGGGGGGCTGCGGGGGCGACGCGGGAGCGTCGAGGGGGCGAGGAGGAACGGCCGGGAGGGGGAGCGGTAGGGATGGGGGGGATGCAGGGGGGGGGCAAAAGGGGCCAGCGAGGGGAGGGGGGCCGAGAGGGGGATTTACAGATCCATCCTTAATCAGGTGCAGGGCTGAGAGGAGCGGCGACCGCCATGGGGGAAGCAGCAGGGAAAGGGCCCCGCAGCGCCCTCCGCCGCGCCGCCGGCTCCCGCACCCGCCGGGCTCCCCCTCCCGCAGCCGCAGCGGGGGCCCGAGCCTGGCCCGGGAGGCGGCCCGGCACCGAGCTGCCCGCCGGGGCCCGGCACCCCCCTCAGTCCGCGATGCTCCAGCGTCCAGAACCTTCCTCCTCCTCCCCCCCCCACCGCAGCCCGCTGCCAGGGGCGCGCAGCCCCGGTTACCTGCGCAGTGCTGCCGCCGGTGCCGCCGCCGGTGAGCGCGGGCTGGAGGCGGCCGCAGCCGCCCGCTCCTGCTGCGCGCCGCCGAGTTGCCGGGCTGGCTGGGCAGGTCCCGGCGGCAGGTCCCGGCTTAACCCCTTCGGGGCCGCCCGGGCACCGGCAGAGGCGCTCAGGCCCCCCCGGTGCGGTGCGGCGCAGCGCGGTGCGGTACCGGCCGCGGGGGATGCGGCGCCGAGCCCCTGCCCCGCCGCATGCGGGAGGCGGGGATGCTGTAAATGCTCAGTCACTGCCCCTTCTCTGGCAGCCAGCCAGGCGCTGCTCGCTGCTGCCTGCGCGCCTGTATTCCTTTTCCTTTTTTTCCCACCCCCCTCCTCCCCCCCATTATTTTTAGACAGAAATCCACGTCCCCGGGCGCGGAAGAAGCTCCGAGGGATGTCGACCCTCCCCACCACGCAGCTCCCTCTCTGCTACCCAAGGCCACGCTCGCAATTTGGGTTCTTTAAATTAATTTTTTTTTTTTCTTTTGCTAGGATCTAAATTTGGAGCGGGTTCTTCCCCTGCTCTGAACAGCTCCCGGAGCCTGGCTGGGGCGAGAGAGGGAGGCATCAGATGACATGACAAAATAAGTCATGTCTCTCGATCATTTTAATGCCACCCCCTCTCTCTCGGCCTCTGCCTTCCATTTTAATCACTGACAGCCCTTCAAGTATTATGGATTATATATAATCTTTTTAATATCAATGACATTTTCCATGAGATGGAAAACATCTCAGGTGTGCTGAGACATTCTCGGGCGGGAGGGGGGGGTCATGCCTTCCTGCTGCTGCTTCCACCAGCCACACAAAATGCTGAGCTGAGATCCATCTTGCCCCCAGGGTTCTGCTTTAGGTCTTCGGGGAGGCCATGTGCCCCTGGGGGCTCTGCAGATCTCAGCAGCCTGACATTCCCAACAGGCTGTGGCCGTGCAGGCTGAATAAGCATCTAGTCCCACTCCCAGCTGCAGTGTGGGAAAAGAGGATATCCAGCATCCAAACCCTCTGCAGGTCAGCCCAGAGAACATCCCAGCTCAGGAAGTGGCAGGCATTCTTCACGGCAGCCCAAGCTCCATGAGCTCCATGCTTCCTCTTCCTCCATTCCCAATGCTCCTGATTCACTGTGTCAGATGGTGAGGTAGACAGCTTGCCTTTCTTCAGGCAGTGATTTTTTTATAAGCAAAGTGAACCTCTCCATGGGGAGAACATGCCAGTTTTTGGAGCTGTACAAATGTGGGGTTTCTTTGTGGGGGGTCCCAAAACCCCACTGTGGGTATAGGACCCAGCAAAGCACTGCTTGCCCTCAGCAGAGCCTGGCTGCTCACCCAGACCCCCTCTGCCATTGGAAATGTACTGTCATCTCCACTTGCCTCATTTTCCTGCAATTCCCCCTCTTCCCATCCTCACTGGTGGTGATGGTGTCTTCAGGCCCCACTCACGTGATGGGTTTGGAATGCAACTCCCAAGGCCAGGAAGGTTGCTCACCTTGGTTATTTAGCAAACACAACACAAATTATTAACACTAATACAAATAATGCCCACGCTTGGGAGAGGAGAAGGAATAATTTCCTTGCCTGGCTGCAAGGACTCAGCCTTACAGTATCCTGCAGAGTGCAGGGCTGACAGCCCTGAGGGTCTTGCTGCTTAGGACAGAGCCCACAGCTCACACTAGGCCTATAAATAAGAGGTATATGTTTCTAAAGCTACTCTGTGGAAACCACCTCTAATTCCACTGCAGTTCCTGTTCTGTTACTTCCACAAATCAATGCAAAAGGAAAAAAAAAAAAATCAGCTGGCTCACAAAAAGCTGCAGCAGCCAGACAGCAGAGTACCACAGCTGTTGGCCAGCACATCCTTTCCTACATGCTCCTTGTACCTCATTCCCTGAGGACACTCTTGTCCAAGGCTAGAAGAGGCACTGGCAATATTTATGACAAAAATTTATGACAAGAAATTAGACTATTCACAGGTTTGTTCTCTTTTGCAGAACTTCTATGCCACCCACCTGCCCTCTGCTATCATTCTCCTCCCTGGAAGGGACAATGCCAGCACAGGACATTCTTCCATTGTACGTGACTGATGTAAAACTTTCATCTACCCCATGTTGTATTAACAGATTTTCCTGTGGGTAGATGAACACATGGAGCCTGGTTTCAATATGCTGGACTGAAGATATGGATCCATGGAGACATGGATGGGCTTTATCATCCTTTAAGGTAAAACTACCAAATGAAAGGATTCCTGCCTCTCCGACAATCACGTTGCCTCTAGAACATGCAGACTCCCTCTCTCCTAGAAACAGATGGCTTGAGCAGTTTGAGTTGGGCAAATTCACAAAGCTGATAATCATCTCCAGGGAGGCAGGAGCTATTGTCAGAGCCTGTGAGACACACCCCAACTTCAGGCCTTTTTCCTCCTAATTCTCAAAATGTTGCTGAAATTTTCACTCTAGGAATGCTGAGCAGAGACATTCCCTTTGTGGGTCTCTGCCCACTGAGCCACAGGAGGCTTCTGCTGCCACAGAAGCCAAAATGCTTCCCCACACCCCACTATGAGAAAACATCTCAAAAGATGAGGAGCCTCACCTGGCCAGTGAAAAAAACAAGCTGTGTTTTGACATGGTATTGCTGGGAGCCAAGGGGAGAAATAGATCTCTCCCCAGGGACAGCACAGGAGTTAAAATGAGAAAGCAGAAGACACCAATGCAGCAGAAGGAGCAGTCATTTCACACTACATGTGCAGCTGCAAGCCATGTGCCAGCCCAGGGACAGGGGCATGTGCCCAAGGGGCACACCTGGAGCCACTGAACTCATGGCTGAGCGATGCTGAGCATGGATAGGCATCTGCTGCTTAAGAGCTCCAGTGGGATCACCATCCCCAATTAATGATCTACACTGATGTCATTGCTCTACAGGGCCAAAGCCTTTCTGGGGAATGCTGTCCAGCAACTTTAGCAGGAAGGTGGCACTTACTGACACCAGGCCAAGACAGACCCCACACAGAGCTCACTCTGCCTCGAGAACCTGCTCCAAGTCCAATGTGCCACATGCAGGCCTGGAATGCCTCCACAAAAAGCCCCATTCCAGCAGTGATGCATACACATGGAAAAGGGTGATGGAGCCCAGACACACAAGGCAGATGGACAGACAGGAGGGGTGGCTCTAACAGGAGGACTTAGCATGGCTCACAACTTTTATAGCACAAATTTCACTCATTTAAGAGTGATTAGTCTTGGAAGGAAGCATGTAAAACCTGGCTCAGAATGGGGTATGGGTACCTGGAGCTCAATGGAAAGAGATGGCAAGATCATCACAAGAAGGAAATCTAAGAGTGCAAAACCAGGCAGGGTGGCACACCCCTTGGGACAGTGTTTTTACTGGGATCCAGAATGCCTCAGAGAAGCCTCCTGTCAGCAAGTCCCAAAGAGAGACTGGACAAGATGCCCAAAATAAGCTAAAACCCAGGATGGATTTGTCTACTCTCCTGGTACCAGTATTCATGAGTACAAGGACATCCTGTTCACACATCTGCTAGCAAAGCAGAATCAAGACACAAAGAATATACCTCATGTTAACTGGCACTTTTAAATTCTCCTTTAGCAGAAATACCAGTATTTTCCAGTCTTAATGTTTTCTGAGTGGTGCTACTTCTTGACTTGTCTCTTCTTGGCAAGCATCATCTGTAGCAGTAACAGATGATCTAGCAATAGTCTCACATCACAGTGTGTCAGAAAAGAAGCAGCCCGGTATTTGTAACCACTGAATCACTTCAGAAAGAAGAATCTCCACTCCATCTGTGTAAATATGGTTATTTATTTTATTTTTTTAAAAGCAAGTATATTTCTACATACAAAGGGCTTCACTCCCACTTCAGAGCATGTTACTGCTTTAGATCCTCAAATAAAGACACCATTTTGCTCACCATTGAATCCAGCAGCCTGTAAACCTGCAGAAATTCAAAGACAGCTGCAGTGAAAACACATGAGGAAATCTTGAGGCTGAGATTGACAGAGATGGTTTCTGAGGTACATTTTCATATGGGCACTCACACAACCACATAGAAGTGGGAGCCTGCTGCTGTCAGAGCTCTAGTAATAACTTCCCTGGCTATGAAGTGTGTTTAACATTATCTGAGATACAATTAATTCAGCTGATCCCTCCAGAGTCTGAAAGCAATGCTAAAGACATCCCAGATAGAAGTCCCGCATGTGGCTATGTGATGGCTGGATTTCTGCTAACAGATTCCAGGCTGAAACAAATTAATTTGGATTTCACGGTTACCTTGCTGCAGCACAAGGGACATATGTCTGCCAGTTTTCTGAGTTTAACAAAATGCTTGCCTCTCCCCCTGAGCCTCAGTGTGCCTTACAAGAAAAGAACAAAACCCTGACAACGATACAAGCTTTGGTTAGACTCACTTCAATGTAGAGCTTTTCCCGGTATGTTTCAAGTGAAATAGAGTCCACATGCTCCTGAACAGGTTCTGCCCCAACTGTAGTTGCAGCTTCCTCTTTCACCTTCTGCTTCTCAAATCTTCCTTTGATGGACTCTACTCCTCCTTTCACGACCTGCACGGAAATGGAAGATACTTGATTCTCATCTTTTGCTTTCAGCTTTCTGCTGCCTGAATGATCCTAATCAGGAACAGACCAAGGAAAAATGGGACGTAGGTCAGGACACTGATCAGACTGCTTCAAGATGCATCTCCCAGCAGCAGCACCTCTTTCACTGGGTTGGAAATTAGTTCAAACTGAGGATACACAACCTCAGGATGATCACACTGTTCCCAGCACTCAGGGTTCACCAGGCATCCCAACACCTACTGCTTTCTCCTTTCCTGATGTCCCTCTACTTTTTTTGCCTTCTTTATCCTTTTTCTCTTCTTTCTTAGTAGCTATTTTGTCTTCCTTTCCTCCTTTTTTTGCTCCTCCTTGCTTTACTTCCTCTACAAAAGAAAGGATTTCAATTAACCAAAAGCATCCACACATCCAGAAAGTCCATCCCACTGCACTAGCACAGTGGGAATGTGATACTTTTGCAATATATTATACTCTTTTTGTTAATCTGAGATGTACTGCACTGAAAAACAATACCTTGAAGACTTCTTTGTTTAAATAAGGTATGAAGAGGTCTCATTGAGGCAGAATTTGCTGGGTCAGTCTGTATGAAAACCATGGCTAGACCTAGCTGAATTAAAAGGCTTTTTTTGTGGGGATGTTTTTTTCCTGATGCCAAACCACAGATCCCAATTAGTATTGTTACTGTCACACAATCTGCCAATTATTTTCCTGATGCTTCTTCCTCAGGGAGACATGTTGAAATTGACATTTCAGTTCAAATTCATCATGTTTTCTGCATTTCCAACAGCCCACAGAAAGCAGTTGCTGTGCTAAAACCACCATTTACCTGTTTCCTCTGAAACAGCTTCTGCATAGACGTCCTTCTTAATCAAACCAAGCACGGATCTCAGCCTCAGAGAGTGATTCACCAAGTCATCAATTGCTCCACGCCACAGCTGGAGGCTGAGAAAATGGTCAGGATCAGAAGGGAGACAGTGCAGCAACTGCCACTTGGTTTGACCCTGTGCCCAGAAGTGAAGGCACCTTATAGCTGACAGCTGCCCTATGCAACTAAACCAACAAAACAGCACCCACTGTCTAAATATCTGTGCAGGGGGATGTTAAATTGCTTTCTTCATGTTAGAGCCCTCCAAGGTCTCAATGGTTTGCATATCAACAGTCTTCCAGGAACCCATAATTATTACTGTGAAACTAGGTCTACTCTTCAACATGACACACATTGGTAAATCTACCTGCTCTGTGTTTACCAAGAGGAACCTGCATCCTTCTAATTTAGAAGCAGCTCAAAGCTGTTGATGCGTTTACAGTCTGAAAGCCTGAGCAAAGAACAGAGAGACTGTATGAGGGAGGAGACAGTTATCTGAGTAAAAGGGTACAGAAAATACCCAAAGGTTTCATAAATACAGACTGGAATAGTCTTGCCAGAAATAATCTTGTACACTCTCCAAAATTACATGCATTTAATATTCTAAACTTATCTCCAGGAAAAAAAAAGGCATTTGGGTCCTAGACAGCTGCTACAATTAAGCTATAAAAAAACAGAGTGTAAAGATGACTTCTAGACCTCCTATAATTATGTGCACTCTGAATCACAACACTTGCAAGAGAGCTTGCTGAGGCTGTTGATCACACAATGTTTTCACAAGCTTTTCCTTGCAAAGGTAACCCACCAGAGTGGATACAGAAGGTCTAACTGAGTTGGTCTCTGTTCAACACAAAGCTCCAGAGCAGCCTTATTGAGCTGGGTCAGTGCTTCTTCCTGCTGCTCCTCCCCGGAGATTGACATTATAGCCTGTGAGAGAAAATTCACAGGGGCTGTGGAACACTTCTCAGTCTTTATTCCCAGTCCCTGAGCTCAGTGGAGCAGCCCACAGCTCTCTTCCTGGACACCGGTCTGAAACCAGGCTGCACTGGGCACTTACACACCCAGATGGGGCTTCCTACACAGCTAGGATATGGCCAAGATACCCAAGATCTGCAGAACAAACCCAGATTCCCTCATCAGACCGATATTAAGCCCCTTTGCAGCTTCAGGTGTTCTGGGAAACAGGGATTCTATCAAGCTAGAAGGCTCCCTAGTAAAGCTTAGTTATAAAAACAACGGAGAGATTTCCAAGAGAGCACTACAGAAAAACCATTGACAGAATCCAAAGCACTCTTGCTTTAATAAAAGGAGGTCTGTATTTTATCCACAGCCTGTCATGAGTGCCCCCCTAGTTCTCTGATGAATAGGAAGGGCTCTCCAAGGAGAAGAGCCCTTGGGGGAGCCACAGGAGGCTGTAAGCCCAGCCTGCCCCCACATTCAATCCTGGGATGACAGAGAGCTAACAGGGGGAAGAGCTTAAAATATCTATTATATTGTGTGCTTCTCTTTTCTTCTTCACACAACAGCCCACAAAGCCTCTCTTGGGAATCTCTTTACAAGAGCACTGAGGGTGTGGTCAGCAGAGCCAACACACATCATAAATCTTGCAAACTCCCAGCATATTGGCAGCAGCCCTTTGGGTGGGCCCACACTGGGGTAGGCTGGGCTGTTTGTAGGGGAATTAACACACCATCAGCTTGTGGGAACAGAGGTTCCCACCTGTTTAAAGTCCTCGAGGGAAAGGTTCCATCCTGAAGGACCTGCTTCTTCCTCCTCAGTGCTCTTTTCCCTTGGAGCATCCTCTAATGTGTGCTTCCCACATGGGAGCTCAGTGGTGCTGCTCCGCACAGAGGAAGGCTCCAAGGTGCTCTCCTGATACTCCATGTCCTCTGCAGTGCTCCTCTGGTCCAAGGGCACTTCCTCCTCCAAGACTGAAGGCACAGTCAGGTGCTGTCTCCATAGTTTATGCAGCTGCTTTACCACTTGATGCTGATAATGCAACTGTGACAATGGGGGAAAAGGTAAACATGAGCTGCACCTTCTCTCTTCAAATCCAGCTGTTAAAGCCTCCATGGCAGACTGCCAGCTCCAGAATCCCAGGGACGCAGCAGCCCCATGGGTCTGCCCTCCCCACTTATTTCAGTTGTGCAGTCCATCCAATAGCAAACATCACCTTGGGATTTTTCCTGTGGAACAGCTCTTCCTCTGTGACACAGGCATCCACAGGAGATGGGGTGCGTTCGGGTGTCCGAATTGGCTTAAGAAGTTCATTCAGGCTTTCTTTCACTATAGAAGCACCTTCTCGAGCAGCCAGCTCACTCTGAGACACCAGAACAAGAACAACATTGCATATGCAAACACACAAACTCAGTCCCACCTGTAACCACACTATTCATTATATAGAGTTACAAGGACATGAACAACTGCAAACCCTGCTGAGCAGAGCAATACTTCCAGCAGCTTTTCAAATAAACTCTACAAATCCTGCCCCCAAACTATACTTTTCAAAGCATAGTGTAATTTTCAATTTATACCTTAACTGCTATCATAGTGTACAACAGTCAATCCCCTTCCCATTAAGTAAATAATGAAATTAATTACCAACAGAAATTTCATTCTTTAAAGGACCAGTGTGAACACTTTAGGAGACACAGTCATGTCTTTAGTAACAACATTTCAATAGACTGCAGAGTTCCTCATGTCATTTAGCAAACCTGCTCAAGTATGTGCAGACATTCTGTAAATCTCACTCTCAGCAGTAATTGCACAACAATAAAAATACCATGTTGTCCACTCCCACCCTTATCCTCTATTTGCATATAAAGTTCAAAGCTCAGTTACCCAGCTACATGCTTGGTTACCTCCAATTTCTCTCTGAAGTCAGCCAATTTATCCTCATACACAGCAATTCCCCAAAGGGTCACCTGAAGCAGAGCTCCTCCTAATAACAGGGGATGTGTCCTAAATTCCCAGGGCTCGCTGAAAATGCCTGCTCTCTCTGACTTGAAAATAAAAGAAAACCTCCGAGTTTCTCCAGGCAAAATTACACCTGAAATAAGAGAGAAAATGCATTGCGTGTGCAAGAGGCCACCTGGTTAGCCTGACCCTTTTCCAACACCATCCCAAGTGTCCTTATCTCTCTAGGAGACTCTTTCCCCATAGTTTAGCTGGTTATCACACTTCATCCAGCTATCATTCTCCTTCCAGAGTTACTCTCAGTCTCTATGTTCCTGAACTGGCCTTATTTCCATTGCACTCTCCTTCTACAGCAAGCTCAGTCTTCTCTCCAGAAGATTATTACCCATTTGCCACCAGAAAATTATTCACTTCTCAATATTCCACCCATTTACACTCAGAGCAGAAGCAACCTCCTTTCCTTTAAGTTCCAGGAGAGGGATCTGCCTTGCACAGCTCTTTTGGGGTGAGTCAGCTCTGACACCCAGGGTGGCTTCCTCAGGAGAAATCACCCAGCAGTGCTCTGCCATTAGTCAGACTCCACATCCCAGGTAACTCCCAAATTCCTGCTCTATGCCTGAGGTACAAAGGTCTTGGAGACCAGCAGGTCTCATACCTGGTCTGGTATCAAAGTAAAAGCAGGGCACTCTCCTCCCCTTGGTTTCTCTGGAGGGGATCTGCTGGGGAAGCCTCATCCAGTTGTACCAAATGGAAGCTCTGCCATCATTGGTCACTGTCAGGAAGCTTTCAGCCTTCTCACTAGCCAGAGTCTCAAAGGTGAGGCGGGCAGCAATACCAATTTCCTTCTACAAGGAAGAGAAACAATTTCTACTCTATCTGGTGGGATTTATCCTGCAAGAATCATAGCTCAAATAAGGGGTTAAGCCTTGGTAGGAGAACTTGTAAGGCAAGTCCAAAGAAGTGGCCATTTTACAGACAAAGCCTGGGAATCTGAACAGCACACCACAACCAGAGCCCTTCTGTTCCTAGATCTCTCTGGAGCAAATACAGGGATATTCTACTATGTTCAGAGTAAGTCCCCCATTCTGTGGCTTTGGGATGACAGTTATTGTGCAACTGTGACTTGGGAGCTCAAATAGGCTTAGCTTGACTAAACAGTTGAAATCTCACAATTACCCTGCAAGCAGTGATGCCCTTGATCCAACGAGCAGGCTCGCCACAGAAAACTAAAGATGGAACCTTTTCAGCTTCTGGAACCTCAGTGAAGGAGTCACCTAAGGGGTCACTGCTAAAGAAAACAAAAGCCAGCATTTTCATGGAGTGAAATTCACTTCCAGAGAGGGGAGAACCAGGGGTGAATTACAAAACCCTGTAAGAAATAATCCCATTTATTATTTTCTCACACAGTACTCTCTTTAGGGACAGAGCCCTGCAGACGTGGTGAACCCACCTAGCTACGTGTCACTGGCAAAGAGGACAGGACAGCCAAAATATTAAAGAATGAGACCTGTCTAAGTACATGAGTGAAAAAGGACAAGAGGCTCTCAGGCTGTGCCTGTTACAGATGGACAGGATGGGGAAAACTAGGAAAGTAATGACGGAAGGCTAGAAAAATTCAATCAAATTGAGGTAATTGAGAGTAGAATCCCACCCTGCCTGATCTAAGCTCTGAAGCCACACAGAGTGAAGACTGGAGGAAGAACCTCAACAAAACTTTTCTCTGATTCTTGCTCCTTAGACACAAGGCCCCCAGGCACAAAGGCTCCTAGATCTGGTGATTATAATATAAGAATATGCCTTTTATTGTGTCCCAGTGGAGACTTGTCTCCATTCTGGATAAGAACAGCTAAGGATATCCTCACAGACTGATGGTGCACACCCAAAAGTCTTTATTTTGCCACGAAGTAGAACTTACAGGATCTCAATCTCTTCAGAAATGGCGGTATGTAGAAAAGCTTTAGTTGAGACAGACGTGAAAGGCTGCCCTTTCCCAATCACCTCCAGTCCTTCCAGATCCTGGACATACACAGAAATTATCAACTCACAGTTGCTCTTTTACACAGAAAGGACATTAAAGCACCAGACAAATGCACCAACTCAGCCAAGTAAAGTGAAGTTGTGATATCTTGCTCCTACAATGGTTTTTAGAGGCATCCAAAGGATGCTCAAGGGACACCGAAAAGAACCAATTCTGAGATTCCCAAGAATCCTAGATGACTGCATTCCCCACTAGCAGTGATACAGGAGAGAACATGCAGAAGGACACAGAGAAAGTGTCCTTCACATGTTCCTCATCCTCAGAGACAGGTTTCAAAGACAGAAAAAGTGAGGTTTGTTCTGTTTGCAGGAGGAGGGGCCACCTGCCTTCAGGAGATTATTTCAGAGTGTGTCTTCCACATGAGTAAAGATCTCTTCCCTCTGCCCCACAGCACTAAATCAAAGTCCTGCACCACTACTTGGCAGGTTTTTCTTTGCCTGGGTCCTGGAAGTTGCATGCTGCTGGTTTGGGGTCCCATTCTGAGGCCCCTAGACCACTCCATGCAGCACTTCAGGAGGTCAGACAACTCTTTCATAGGTGTGGCCCTTTGGAAATGTGGGAACTTCCACAAAAAACACTGCGGGACCAAGTTTTAGTTTCCTAATGCTTTTTTCAGATCCAACTCCTGACAATTTTCTTACTCTACAGCACCTGACAAGAGACACAAACAATGTCCTTGTTCCTCTGGTCTTACCGGCTTATAAAAGCCCAGCTCCTCTAGGAGAGATTTTAGCTCCTGCCGTCGATGTTTCAGGAAAAGACTCTTATCCCAGTTTAGGTGGCAAGGAATCTTCTTCGGAGGCTTCAGACCTGTGGAAATACCAATACAAGAGCTCACTCTCTACACGCCCACACGCCTAATCAAATTTCATTCTCTGCCAAACTTTAGCCTTGTAGTGTTTTAAAGAGGAGGCTCAACAGGGAAGGAGCTGCTTCTTCACACTTGTGTCCCATTTCTTTGGAATCACCTCTCTGCAGTGTTCCCTTACCTGTTTCCCTCTGGACAGTTCGGGGTTTCCCCACATGAGTGAGTGGTTCTGGGTGCCCACATTCTGTCCGGGTCAGGGTCAGAGTCAGCCCGGTGAGTTCATCCCCTATTTGCTCAGGAAGGCTCCAGAACTCGCTTCCCACTCGGTATCCCTAGGGTGGGAAACAAGGCTCCCACTGATTGTTGTGAATAATGGTGCAACTACCTGCTATTTTCAGAGGCACTTGAAGCTAAAAAGAAGAGGTCTAACCCTGACTATATGAGCATTTTAAAAGTCTATGAATTATCCATTTCCGCTGAGGAAGCCAAAATTTCTATCAGGCTGCTGTCAAAGATGAACTTTCTTCTATCTAGTGCACATGAAGGTTGAACGATATTAAAATAAAGCCTCACACAAATGCAAATTCTTTGACAGTGCTATAAATGTGAAAAAAAAAATTAACATGATACCCCCATAACCTTCCTGTCTTACCCATGCCCTTTTCTCCATGGCAATTACTAAAATCCAAGCCTGAAGCTATCAGATATTTCTGCCCCTGGAACAACAATTGTGACATGTTCCTATGCCACTTCCCAGGGCACAACAGTCTTTAGTGAGAATCATGAAATGCCACTTGCTCATCACCACTTTCCCCTGGCTGGTATGGATAGCACAGTTCAGGTTTTTATTTTTCATGTCCCTGAAAGCTCTGCTCAGACACCAAGCTGAAGGATTCAGAGTGGCTTTGATAAACATCTCCTGACAGCACTTCAGAGACTGACTTAGAAGAGTGTCTGTGCTGTGTGGCAAGAGCAGCACAATCAGGACACACAGGAAGTGGGGCTCTCACCTTTCCAGGAAATAGGGCAGGGAGACTCCGGTCAATGAGGTCACGTTCTTCCTGGATTTGTCTGTAATTGTCTGACATGTTCATCAGCAATTCATTCTCTGGCTTGTGAAGAATTTCTATAAATGAAAAACATCAAATCATTGGTGCTGCACTTCTGGACACACCCTTTGCCACTTTTATTGTTCACCTGTAACCCACTTACACTGTTCCCTGCCAAATCCACTGCCCTCTCCCCAGCCAGAGCCACCAGCTCACCTTTCCACCACATCCAGAGCAAACAGCATGAGCAGTGCGGGAGCTCCGAGAACATGGAATTAAGACTGCAATTGCAATGAGATTAACCCTGGTGGGCAATGACTACTGCAATTTGAGGTGGCAACATCAAACTTCTCCACCTGCACACAGAATTTCATAGAATGAGACCTCCTTAGTTTTTCTCACCTCCTAGGTGTTTCTCCTGCTTTTTCCTCATTGCCATATGATGGCTCCAGTTCTGGAAAGCTTTGTTCTCTGCTAGTTGGGCCTGATGTGCCTTTGCTTTCTCCTCTCCTCCATGTTCCTCTTCTAAAGCTGCTGCAGTAACATCTGGATGAGGAACCTTAATAGCATCTGCTAGCTGATGAGAAATGAAACATTAAATGAACCTCTCCATGCACACCAAAACAGGAATGGAAGAGGGGAGAAGAATTCTTCAGATTGACTGCACTGTTACATTAGCAATCTGAGAGGAAGGAAACCAGGGCAGTGGGGACACACTAAGATACAATGGAAGTGTTTATCTGAGTAATGAGACTCCAGCAATGGCATTGCTGCAACACCAGCTCTTCCCTGACACCATCAGCAGGGCACATAAGGAAGAGGAAGCCTGTGTAATTGTTCCCTCCATGACCTGGTCCTGCACACAGGACTCCAAAACCTGCTGGTGCAGTTTCTCCAAAGGCAAACCCTCCCCCAGAGTGTGATGAGGCTGGAAAAACCACACCTCAGGCCTGCCCTGCTCCTGATAGGTGCTGAAAAGCATCGAAAGGTACTGCAGGCACCACACTCTACCTCTGGAAAAGTGCTATGCAGAACCATTTTCCTAACTCTGCAAACCAACCTGAGTGTTTCTTTTGGCCAAGGCTTCCATCCTTAACTCCTGAAGACTTCCCAAAATATGATGAGGGAGGATCTCTTCACAGCCATCATCAAACTGTCTTGATCCTACAACATACATATAAAAATACCCAACCCCAGAGGCGGGTCACTAAAATTTGGCTTAGCAAAAACAAAACCCAGAGGTAAGATGTGAAGTTGAACCCTACCAGGAAAAGTCAGTGGTCCCCTGGGTGCCTTGGGGGGAACAGGATGTGCTACGAGATGTGCCACTTCCTTGGGTCGGTATTTTCGGACAAGGTAATTCTTCCGAACTGGAATTCTCCCAGCATCACGTGCAAGGCGTGGAGGATGAAGCTTCAGGAAGTAAACAGTCAAAGTGCAGTTAGGTACACACTGACTCACCTTTATTCCATCTGATCCTTTTAGGATATACACAGTGGTCATATCAGTACATTTCCGGTAAGGGTGCTGCGAGTCCTGGATAGGGACTTTTCACATGGACATGTAACAACAGGACAAGGAAGAAATGGATTCAAAGTAGACAAAGAAGAGTAAGTTTAGATTACACATTAGGAAAAATTCTTCTCTGTGAAGGTAGTGAGGCCCTGGCACAGGGTGCCCAGAGAAGCTGTGGCTGCCCCATCCCTGGAAGTATCCAAAGCCAGGCTGGATGGGGATTGGAACAACTTGGAATAGTGGAAGGTGTCCCTGTCCATGGCAGGGGGGGTGGAAATAGAAGAGTTTTAAGGTTCTTTCCAAGCCAAATCTTCTATGATTCTTCCCCTACAAGACACCTTAAACAGCTATGCAGATACCACCTCAGTTACTGTCTTACTTCTCTGGATCTTGGTTTATAACAGGAGCACAAAAGGAGAGTTTTAAATCACTTTCCAGAAGAGATTTCTGCTTCTGTGTCACTCAAATGCTTCCACTCACACACTGTGATCTGAGTTTTGGAAGGAAAGCCATGAGAGCTACTAAACAACTTACAGGTCTTATTAGATCAGAAAGTTGAAGATGTAATTTTGAAGATACAGATGACTTATCCTTCCTTTTGAAGGGACTCTATAGACACCTATAATCCTTTACTTTTAGCAACTGAACCTGATGACCTGACATTTTATCATGATAAAAAACCTGACAGACAAAATGGCATGAGAACTCAGCTGCAGGAGTGACATTTGGCTTAAGTAAATGGGCAGCACCCTCTGTTAAACACCCAACAGGAGAGTGTCTGTTAAGGCAGCTGTTTCTAGCAGTAAAAATACTCATACATACTTTCTCCAGGTCCTCCGCCTTAATTTCAAGTGCCTGGATGTCCTCTCCTTGCAGAATATATGGAACAAGCTCAGGCTCAGGCTCAGGCTCAGGCTCAGGCTCTTCTACAGCTGTTGAACAGGGTTGTTCAAAAGTCTTTTCCTTCCTGCCTAAAAAACAGATGAAGAGACTTCTTCAGTCTCCCAAAAGGACCATATTCCTCTCAGGCTGGTTAATGCTTTCCAGCTGAACTATGTTTTGGGATTATTTCTCTTTAAGGTTGCAACAAACAATAAATTCAGCATTTCTTGTAAATGAAAGAGTGAACCTCTGAGAAGCTGCAAAGACCTAAGTGGGTCAAGTAGGAGTGAATTGTCTCACACTTTATTCAGATGAAAGACAACGATAAGATAAATGCAAATAAATACAGATCCCTGCAGGTGGAACAACGCATTCCTGGGAAGTTTCCAACTGTAGCTGCAAGTACAAGCACACAGGTTCCCTGCGCTCACCCAGCACGACTCGGATAACAAAGCACTGGGTTTCAAAAGCTGTTCGGTGGCACAACAGCTCTGAAATACAAACGGGTGCGGGGCAGCTCCTCCGGCACATGCGGGCCAAGCCGAACTCAGCGACTGTTCCCCCTTAACCTGCGGGCCCCTCCCGGTGGGACCTGATGCTTTTAAAACCAAAACCACGAAAATAATGACAGGAGGTCACTGGCGGGGGAAGGGGCTGGTTCCGGCCGCTTCAACCGCGGCCCCGCCGAGGCCGCAGGCCCGGCCTGGCCCGGCTCGGCCGCTGCTGAGCCGCACCCTGCTCCCCGCCGTACCAGGAGGACTCCGATTCCGAGACCGACCTCCCCCCCGCGACGCCATGTCCCGGCCACCGGCACCGCGCCCGCCCCGCCACAGGCCTCGATAGGGCGCGATAGGGCGCGATAGGGCGCGCGGGCGGCAGCGGCCTCGGGCACCGCCTCCTGCTGGGGCTCCGCGGTACCGCTCCCCCGGGCGGGGCCCGGCATGCGCATGCGCCGCCTGCCGGCACGCATGCGCGGTGCTGCTGCGACACGGCCGGGGACAAAGGGACATTGAGGATCTTGGGAGGCTAGGGCTCCGGGACCCCGAACACTGGGCGACTAGAACAGAGGGTGGCGGGGCACCGGGATCCGCGGACACAGCGGGATACAGGGGTGCCGGGACTCCAGAATACCCGCACACCAGAGACACGGGACACCGGGCCTCAGGACACCCGGAACACCGGGATACAGGAGCCTGCCGTGCAGTAACACCTCCCCCGGCCAGCGCCCCTGCCCCAACACCCCTCAGCCAGCACACCGCTCTTGTGGTTTATTATCCATTATTATCCATTGTGGCCGCTTACAGCCCTCGCGCCCCTCCACCGCCTCGTTCCCCTGCCATTCTTCCCCTCGGTGGGAGCCGGGCAGCGCCCAGCACCCGCTGCAGCTGCCAGAGCAGGTCGGGCAGCAGCGAGTCCAGCACGGCCAGGCCGGCCCAGGTGCACCGCAGGCCACTGGGAAAGAAGTGGTGGTGAGAGTCCGTGCCCCAGGGAGACCCCCGGCTCTGCCCACAGCTCCCGGGGCTCACCCATTGTCCAGGACAAGCCAGCCCTCCTGCTGCAGTGCCCGAGCCTCCCCCGGCTCCCCAAACACGGCCTGCAAGCTGAGCTGTGGAGAGAAATGCCCCCAGCGCTGTGTGCCCAGGGCAAGAGAAGGGTGTTAGTGATGGGGCATCTGCATCCCACTACCCAAAGAGGCTGCAGGAGAGCTGAAGAGGGGCTTTGGATAAGGGAGTGGAGTGACAGGAAAAGGGATGGATGGAAAGGGCAGATTTGGATTAGATATTGGGAAGAAATTCTCCTGTGACAGTGGTGAGGCCCTGACACAGGTTGCCCAGAGAAGCTGTGGATGCCACATGCCTGGAAATGTTCAAGGCCAGGTTTGACAGGGCTCAGAGCAACTGGTCTAGTGGAAGGTGTCCCTCCTGTTGCCCACAACAGGAGGTGGAACAAGATGGGCCTTAAGGTGCCACCCAATCCAAACCATTCTATGATTAGCATTGGGTCGATGTGGGTTGTCCCCACAGATGGCTCCTCACTTTGTGTGTGATGCCTTCATCCGTGCGCAGTCCCAGGGTGAGCAGCTCCTCTAGCCTGTGGGGACACAGAGAGCTATGGTGCAGCACAGACAGGGAGGGGGCACAGGGGGGGGACCCCAGTACTCACTGCTCCAGCGGGCTCAGCACCACCCGACTCCTGGTGCCGTGTCCCTGGCTCTGCACCTCCCGCATCCAGGCGACAGGCTCCAGGGTCTGCACACGAGCTTCCCGGCTGCAGCCGCCCTCAGCCCGCAGCACGAAGCGCCCATGTGCCCCTGCAGCAGCCCGGTAGGGGGACAACGGAGTTCACGGGGCACATAGCCACACACTCCCCCCCACACTGGCCCCCCCACACTGGCCCCCCCATCACCCCCTTACCTGGCCCCACACCAATGTACTGCTCAGCCTGCCAGTATGAGAGGTTGTGGGTGCTGAGGGCGCCCTGGGGGAGAGCCCTGGTGTGAGAGGAGTGGCTGAGCCTGCTGGGGGACCAGCATGACATTGGGGTACACAGCATGGGGGGCATCCCACCTTCCGCGCAAAATTGGAGACCTCATAGTGGCGGAAGCCGGCGGCCACCAGCACATTCCGGGCCGTCTGGTACATGTCAGCCAGCAGATCCTGGGGGGGTGCGGGCAGGGCCCCGTCCCTGACCTGCGCTGCCAGTGCCGTGCCCCGCTCCAGCGTCAGCTGGTACAGGGAGATGTGGTCGTCACAGACCCTCAGGGTCGCCTCCAGCCCCTGGGCCCAGGCGTCCCGGCTCTGTCCCGGCAGCCCAAACAGGAGGTCGATGGAGGTTCGGCCAGGGAAGAGCCCTCGAGCCGCTTCTACAGCCTTCAGTGCCTCTGCCGCTGTGTGCTCCCGGCCCAGCATCCTCAGCTCGGCGTCATCCAGCGACTGCGGGGGGAGCACGGTGACAATGGGGCCACGGGGGGCTGCAGCGGCTGCGGCGGGGAGAGCCCCTCTCACCTGGACGCCGATGGAGAGGCGGTTCACCCCAGCTGCCCTGAAGCCGTCAAGGGCAGATGCGCTGGTGGAGCTGGGGTTGGCCTCCAGCGTGACCTCAGCACCAGCCGGAAGGTGGGCAGCCCCTGCCACAGCCTCCAACACTGCCGCAATAGTGCCGGGGCTGGCCAGGCTGGGGGTGCCCCCGCCGAAGAAGACGGAGGTGACGCTGTGGGGCAGAGGGTGGGAAGCTGCAGGTGGGCAGGAAGGGCCCAGCACTCCCCCTGAGCCCACCCTGTGCACCCACCTGTGCACCTGGCTGAGGCGGAGCAGGGTCTGTGCCTCCCGCACCAGGCAGGAGCGCACGGCCGCCTCGTCCACCGCCGGCACCACGTACGTGTTGAAGTTGCAGTAGGAGCAGCGCTTGCGGCAGTAGGGCCACTGCGGGCACGGGGCGTGTGGGGGACGGCCATGCCCTCATCCCTAGCCACTCCATTTCGAGGGGGGACACCCCCAGCCCAGTGCATGGACCTCAGTGCCCCCCACCTGCCCCACAAGGCACACGACCCACAGGTGTGACCCTTCATGTGCACGGCTCGAGGACCCCTCAGTTCAGGCTAGCCCCATGACATGTTCAAGGCTGGGCCCTCCCCGATGCGTCTAAGCCCCGGGGTCCCACATGCACCCACGTGTGAGTGAGCCCCAGGGAGCCACATTCACCTTCCACCTGTGCCAGCCCCGTGCCCCTCAAGGAGTACAAGCCCCAGGACCCACGTGTGTCCCCACGTGTGCAAACCCGTGACTCCCGGGCACCCCTGCACATACACAAACCCCGGGGTCCCCCCGTTTCCCCGCTCACGTGCACGTAGAGCGCGGCTGTGGCGGGGGCGGCCGTGTCTGGGGCCGGTCCCGGTGCTCGTCCCGGGCCGCCCCCGCCAGGCAGCGCCCCAGCGACAGCCGCCAGCTTCCGCGGCCAGCCCCGCGCCGCCGCCATTGGAGCGGGCGGGCAGCGAGCGGGCGGGCCTGCGCGGGACCGGGGCGGGGCGCAGGGGCCGGGGGAGGGATCGGGGGCAAAGCCCTTCGCTCCCGACGGGGCTGTGTGGAAGATGCTCGCTGTGAATGACGGGGGTGCTGCGGTCAGTGTCCTCCTCGGAGCCGGGAATGCAGGAGTCAGTGTCCTCTCCCGGTGCTGGGGATGCCAGGGCCAGTGTCCTCCCCCGGTGTCCTCCCCAGACGCACGGTCCGAACGAGGTTTGGGACCTGCCCCCGCATCCTTCCTCAGCTGCTCCTCGGGGCCGGGAAGGGTTTTCTGGAGTTTCGGCGGAGGAAGGTGGCCTGTCCCCACTCAGGATTGTGCAAACCCGCAGCTGACGAACCCCGACGTCAGTAGTTGTCTGTATTAATAGTCACGAGGAACTCTGAAATGCCCATGACAAAGGCTGGGACTGCAGATTCCTGTTCCCAGCCCAGTAACGCGTATTTCGGTGTAAAACACCCCTGATGTAACCTTCCCTTTCCGGGGAGATTCCGGGCAGGAAATCCCCCTCCGGCAGCGAGGACTATAAGAGTGGGACTCAGGCAGGGGCAGGGCAGACATAGAGCGAGCCTGGAGCACTGCACACACCGAGACCCCACTGGCAGCCAAAATAGCCAGCTCTTCCTCTTCCGTGAGTATTTACAGCCGGGGATGCATAATCCCAGGGGTTGGGAAGGGGCAGGACGAACTGTGGGAGGTGTCCTGGCTGGTGAGGGGTGGATATGCTCTGGGGAAGGCATGGGATGGTAGGGAAGGCTTCCCTGGGACCAGGCTCAGCCAGGGCTCATACCCATGGATGGTGCTGCCCCACTCCCAGAACAGGAGAAGGAATGGGGTGGCAGGGACTGTTCCCCCTCTGCTGGCTGTGACCAGGACCCACTGGTTTTCTTAGTAGTGTGTCTGTCCTCACCAGCCAGGGCTGGTGGCACTGGTATTTCTTATCCACTGCCCCCCATCTACAGCGAGTACATGGGGCACCTGTGGGCAGGGTAGGGGTTGTGCCAAGTGTGGAGGTACTGATCAGGGAGGGGAGGAGAAACTCCACTCACTGCAGGCCTGTCCTGCACCTGGGTTAGGGCTGTGGGAAGCAAAAGAAGGTAAACAGTCCTTCCCTAGACATCAGTCACAGAGGCCCTCTGTGTCCCCAAGGTCCCTGGCTACAGCTCCTACCACGTAGGTAAAAGTTCTTCCTTCAGGAAGGAAGGTGACAGAGGTAACCAGGAAAGGGAGGAGACCTGAGTGAAATGTGGAAGGATCAGTGCTGAAACCAGTCCCATGAGCAGTGTGGGAACAGGAGAAGAACTTGCTGGAAAGACAATGTACAAAAGGAGTCTGACACAAACCACCCATGTCTTTTTCTTTCTTTCAGAGTGCAGACGTGGACAGGGAACATGGCCCCGCCGTCTGCTTCCATGGGTAGAGCCCACAGTCCAGCTGTGAGATGAAGGATTGAGACCTGCTGACGCTTCTTCTTTCTCCCTGTTGTGCCACTGCCCTCCACCCACTGCAGGAAGCTGCAGCATGGAAGGGGCCCGGCTTTAGCTCTGTGGGGAAAGGAACCAGGAGTGAGACAGCGGGAGGTCAGCAAGAGTTGGCAGCAACATTATCTGCTTTCCAGCTGGGGTGGGACACTTCTGCTGGCAAAGAGGAGCTCTGCCATTCCTCTTCTCACAGGAGTGTTTCATGGTTGGGAGGTACCAAATAACTCCCGTAAAATGCTGTCCCAGGTATGCTCTGCTTCACACTGCCGATGGGACAAGAATTTTGGTATTTCTGCAACAACCTTACTGTCTGTCTTGTCCAAAACAACAAAATAAACAAAGCCATGTCTACCTTGGAGAAGGTTTTTTTTGGGGAAACACCTGGGGGAGGTGTGGGAACAGTGAGCTTTTCCAGCCAGTTTTAGAGAGCCCCAATGCAAAGTCTCATTCTCTGAAACCCCTGCCCCTCATT